AAAAAAAAAAAAAAAAAAAAAAAAAAAAAAAAGGGAATCCAAATTGATGTAAGATGCAGGGCTTGTTGGGATGGAGCACATTTTTCTTCACTTGCAGTAGAGCTCAGAAAACGTGGAAATAGCCTGGAGAACAGATGCTCAGTCCAAGCCAACTTCAAAGAGTGGTGGGGGTGGATCAGTTTCATGTCAAATTCTTTTGACAACTGCATCTTTAATTTTCTGATGTCTTTCATATTTGATCCTGCTACTAACATGTCATCAACATAAAGTAGCAAGATGATATAGTTGGACTCATACTTCTTGAAGAAACAACAGTGATCAGCATTGTACTTCTGGAAACCTTCCTTGTGCATGAAGCTATCAAACTTCTTATACCACTGTTTTGGAGCTTGTTTCAGGCCGTACAAGCTCTTCTTCAATTTGCACACCATATCCTTCTTTCCTTCTGAAAAACCTTCAGGCTGGTGCATATAGATCTCCTCATTTAGGTCTCCGTAAAGATATGCAGTCTTCACGTCTAATTGCTCAAGATAGAGCTCTTCACTAGCTACAATACTTAACACAGTCCTGATAGTATTGAGCTTTACAACTGGAGCAAAGATTTCAGTATAGTCAATTCTTTCTTTCTGCTGAAATCCTTTGACAACCAGCCGGGCTTTGTATCTCCTGGAACCATCATGGTCTTCCTTCACTCGATACACCCATTTGTTGTGAAGTGCTTTCTTTCCCATAGGTAACTTGACTAGTTCCCATGTCTGATTTGAGATCAAAGACTTTATCTCGTCCTTCATGGCAAGCTCCCACTTGCTAGCATCTGTGGTTTGACAAGCTTCCATGTAATTTTCAGGCTCCCCTCCATCAGTCAGCAGCATGTAGTCCATGTATCTCCTGTTAGGCACATGGGGCCGAGAGGACCTTCTCAATACAGGAGCTGGAGTAGGAGGTTCTGATTGCACATCACTTTCTTCATTTGATTCTTCTGACTGAGGACTCCTCATTATAGGACTGTCTGGGATATCTTCCACATCTGCATAAACTGGCCCACTCGTTTCTGAGTTGCTGGCACCTGTATTATGCCGGTCCTTGTACATCACTTTTTCATTAAAGATGACATCTCTGCTGCGGATCATCTTTTTGTTTTCATCATCCCATATGCGGTAGCCAAACGCATCTTCACCATAACCAAGAAAAGTACATTTCTTTGATTTTGGATCAAGTTTGTTTCTACCTTGATCACTGATGTGCACATATGCTACACACCCGAAAACTCTAAGATGTGAGAGTTTTACTTCTTTTCCGCTCCATACCTCTTCTGGTAACTTGTGATCCAATGGTACCGATGGACTTCGGTTGATCAAGTAAGTTGCCGTGTTGACTGCTTCTGCCCAGAACTGCTTTGGTAGGCCTGACTGCACACGCAAGCTTCTGGCTCTTTCAGTCAACGTTCGATTCATACGCTCAGCCACACCATTGTGTTGAGGCGTACCAGGCACGGTTCTCTCCATTCTGATCTCGTGCTCATAGCAAAACTTCTTAAATCTGGTGGTTACGTATTCACCACCATTGTCGGATCTGAAGCTTCTTGAAAGCTTCAAATACTTCCGACTTGTGTTTCAGAAAGTAAACTCATACTTTTCTTGAGTGATCATCGATAAAAGTCACGAAGTATTGCTTCCTACCAACGGATGGGACAGTCGTTGGACCCCAGACATCAGAGTGGATGAGCTCAAGCTTCTCCTTCTTTGAAGTTCTTTTACTTGTCTGAAAGCTGAGTCTCTTCGGCTTTCCAAATATACAACCTTCACACATGTCAATTTCTATTGACTGGAGGCCTGATAATTTTCCTTTTGAGTGAATGATCTTCATCCCTTCTTCACTCATATGCCCAAGTCTTTGGTTCCATAGATTGGGATTTTCATTTGCTGCAACTGCAATCAGATGACATGCTCATGTTGTCTTGTAAAGAGTACCACTCTTTTTGCCTCGAGCATTTGTCATCGCACCCTTTGAAATCTTCCAACATCACCATGGAAGATTGTCGTGTAGCCTTCACTGGCTAGCTGGCCCACTGAGATTAAATTCTTCGTCAGTTCGGGAATATGTCTAACATTTTTCAATTCCCATACAGACCCGCTCAGCTTGATTTTTATTGCACCTTTGCCTACAATATCACATGATTGCTCATTACCAAGGTAAACTTTACCAAGGTTACCAGGAACATAATTTTCGAGTAGTTCCTTCTGTGAGGTAGCATGAAAGGATGCTCCAGAGTCTAACACCCAAGAGTCTTCTCTGTTCTCCAAAGAACATACCAGCATATCTCCTCCTGAGGATGAGGCAACATTTTCCTCTTCTTGATCTCCTGATTCTTCGGTGCACTCTTGCACTGGTTTATGTAGTGCCCGGTCTTCCCATAATTCCAGCACTCGATCGACTTCGAGGTTTGGGAACTACGATGATTTCTGGACTTAGATCTTCTTCCTTCTGATTTGTTGTGTCTGCTCTCTTTGGTTGAACTTCTTCCTCTTGATTCTGTATGCAATATAGAAGAGGTTGATGGTTCACCCGACTCTCTCCGCCGGATCTCTTCACTGAGAACCATATTTTGGACATCATCAAATCTCAACTTATTGCTTCCCGATGAGCTACTCACAGTCGTGACCGTAGCATTCCAACTTTCTGGTAGGGAAGACAAAAGTATTAAAACCCGTACTTCATCATCGAACTCGATCTCAACTGAACTCAACTGGGTTGTAACGGTGTTGAGCTCATTGAGATGATGTGCCACCGAAGCCCCTTCGGTCATCCGAAGGTTGAACAATCGCCTCATCAAATGAACTTTATTTGAGGCTGATGGCTTCTCGTACATGTTTGAAAGAGTCTTCATGAGGCCTGCTGTCGTCTTTTCTTTTGCAATGTTAAAAGCAATATTAGGGGATAACATCAGCCGAATGGCTCCAAGGGCTTGTCTGTCAAGGAGACTCCATTCTTTCTCCTTCATGTTCTCTAGCTTCTTTCCTGTGAGCGTTTGTCCTTCTTGGTGGGTTTGAAACCTAACCCGTAGGGGCGTTGATACATATTCTTTTGGTACAGATAATCCTCGATCTGCATCTTCCAAAAGCCAAAGTCCGCACCATCGAACTTTTCAATTTTAATTTTTTCTTCATCTGCAGCCATCACTTCGTCTCTGATCTGGCTTCACTGCCGGATCGTTTCTGATAATTTTTGTGAACGACCGTGTTTCAAAACATGTCGGTAAATAAATTTGTAGCGCCGACAAAATTTGACACTATTTCCGTTTTTCACTATTCACATAATAGTAACCCACACAAAAAATTACAGAATTAACAATCTGGCTCTGATACCAGTTGTTGGGAAAAATACGCTGCATTTTCCATGAAGTCAAATCTATAAAAGTGAAATAAAAAATAAAAATTGGACACACCAATTTGATAACGGAGTTCGGCCAATAATGCCTACGTCTCCAGACTACTGCAGATATTTTATTAGGAAGAAAAATTACACTCGTGTTTACAAAACACTTTCAAACTCACTCACAACTCACAACTCAAATACACACAAAAGCTAAATTCTTGCTTTCTTGCTCACACCCTTTTTCTCTCCTTTTTTCTTCTCTCTTGGTGTGTTGTATTTTTTTTTCGTTGTGGTGTTTGATGCCTTCATTTGCCTTCTATTTATAGAAGCAAGATACATCAATTTTCAAAGAAGGCATGTTGCCATTTTCCAACATTGGTGGCTTTGTTTGTGAATGCTCCGTTGTCCAATTTGGGAGGCTGCTTCATTTTTCTTCAATTGTGTGTTGTTGTCAAATGAGGATGGCTGCTGCCCAACAATGTGGACATAAATTATTTCATAAACTAAACTTAAACAAATGGTCGACCCGCAAAGACCCGTAACAAATACATTGTTATATATTCTCAGGTGCTTAAGTTTATATTGAACTTGGATATATCAATAATTTTGAAACTCAATCGAATGGTGGTAGAACTCAAATTTACGACCTTCCTATTTGTTACATTGTTAAGTTTACAATCAACTTGGATAGTTGGATAAATCAATTATTTTGAAACTCAATCGAACGGTAATAGAACTCAAATTTACGACCTTACAATAAGAGGGTCATAAATCATAAATTAATATAACCAACAACTAATGAGTAAATCGGTATATCCACACCTTCACCTCTTAATCATAAAGATCCCCACAAATCTTGAGAAAATCTTTAGAATGATTGAATTTTCACCTCACATCCCATCTAATTTCAGCATAAAATAATATAAAAACATGAACTTATACACAAAAGAGCTACATTAATCAGCAGCAAGCCATAAACAACCAAAGAATAGAAAAACACGTCCGAACACAATACAAAAACACCATGTCCAGATCCAACAACCCATATCAATAACAAGACATCACACAAATCTGAAAATAAAAAACAAAATATTAGAAAATGTGAACATCAAAATATCAAACCAAACAAAATATTGGGATTTTAAAATTATAAGGAAATTACCTGTAAGGAGAAAACAAAGTCAAGGTCACACATTTTCCTT